TATGATTAAAATGCAACTTGTCGGCTGGAGAAAAAATGTACTATGCTGCATGAGTAATGTCGACATGTCTAGTGCATACATGAGGTGAAATGTAATATCATAGGTTACTTGGTCAAAGGTATCAGTTTTTCTATGGAAGTCGAATTCTAGTATAAAATATTTAGTATTGGTAACGAGAAAACTCCGTCTTAACCGGGAAGTTCAAGGGAAGGGATATTAAAAAGGAGAAACATTTTCATGCTTTGGGTTATGGTGGATCAGAGAGATCTTTCTATGCATTAGAAAAATTGTGATTTGCTGTTTTATTGGTGTCTTACTGAAGGTTACAAGATGCATGAAGTTACACATATGTTTTGTTGTCATAGGTACTATTGAACGCATCCCATACTTGTTCTGAATCTTCTACACATCTACACGCATAAGTAAACGTTTGAGATAATGTATTAGGCATCAAGTAGGTGATACTCTGCCTCATTTTGCACCATCCATGGATAAGCTCGGTATAAGTTGGCTCCATTGTCAACACAAATGATACAACAGTGCCAATAAATATAGAATCCATTATTAGCATTTTTGGTAAGTTTTTTACTTAAATGTGCTAACAAGGAGGATGTAGTTAATATTATTAATTAGAATAGGCAGAGCACGGATCTTAAACTTGACAAACGCAATATGATTAGTTGTTGGTCATGGTAGCTGTCGAAATTCGTCTTCTGATTTTCATTTAACTTGATTGGGGTGTTAAAATTATTTAGATCCGTAAAAACATTTAGTTGTTCTATTGCATATGCATGAAACCTTTAATATGTGTTGACATTAAATCATTGGCGTTATAAAGTTTTCTTCCATGTAGAATTTTATATGCTATTGGATCTTGATGTTTAATACTTGAAAAAAAATGGTTATTGTGAATGCCAACGTAACATATTTTCCAACAAGTCTGCACTCATGCTTTGCAGTTGCCGAGGATATATACAGGGGATAACGTACTGGATTTGGTTGTAATTGGTTGCGGACCTGCTGGGCTGGCTCTGGCTGCTGAGTCAGCTAAGTTGGGTCTGAATGTTGGGCTTGTTGGCCCAGATCTTCCTTTCACGAATAACTATGGTGTGTGGGAGGATGAATTCAAAGGTGCTCCTCTTCATGTCAATCTGTGTTATGGATTTCTCTTTCAAGTGATGTGATTTATTTGTTTAAATCTCCAAAAAAAAAAATATCTTGCTTGTACTTTGAGAGTGCTTATTTTACGTCCCTTGTGCCGTTTGCATTTGTTCGTTATTGGATTTGATGCTCTTGTATTTTTGGAATTTAGTTGACTAGGTATTTTTATTCGCATCCGCCTCTTTCAGACTGTGGGTATGAAAAGCTGCAAGGTTGCCAAATGTTAGATGATTTTGGAGCGAATTCTACAATAAGTTATTTACAATGCCAATTGTTGATTATCATTGATAGATGGAATATTTTGCACTTCATTTCGGAACATATTTTGTTCATTGCTTCATGCTAGGTCTTCAAATGATAGTCTCCATCCTATTTCATGCCTTGAAATATTCTTTTAGACCTTTATAACACTTGATTTCTTTCTCTCTAGTAAACCATTATCCGTGTTGATTTCTGAACATAATCACAACGCAATTTCATTCCATTTTTATGTTTATAATCATTATCATTTCTACAGTTAAGTCCATGAAGAATTTTCAATTATTACAGATTTAGGACTTGCATGCTGCATTGAACACGTCTGGCGGGATACTGTTGTATATCTGGACGAAAATGACCCCATTTCTATCGGTCGTGCGTATGGACGTGTTAGTCGGCATCTGCTTCATGAAGAGTTACTGAAAAGGTAAATATATCGACTACATGTTCACCTTAGCATAGTTAGACATATCAGAATTATATGTTCGTTACTTATATTAATTTTTCCTAGGTGTGTCGAGTCAGGTGTATCTTATCTTAGCACAAAAGTTGAAAGGATTATTGAAGCTTCAAGCGGCCATAGACTTGTAGAATGCGAAGGCAATGTTGTAATTCCTTGCAAGTATGCCTGTGAACTCATTCTTAAATTACCCATTTCTCTTTATAGATTCTGAAGAACACAAATTTTATCCTTCCGTAATACCTAAATTCTATTTACAGATTGGCTACAGTAGCATCTGGGGCTGCTTCGGGTAAGCTCTTGGAGTACGAGGTCGGGGGTCCAAGGGTTTCTGTGCAGACAGCCTATGGAGTTGAGGTTGAGGTAGGAATCTAGAATGGTTGAAAATATAAAAGCTCGTTGAAAAACGGAGTGTCTCAGAAACAAAAAATATATATGTTTTTAGATGGTGAATATTTGCTGTAGGTTTAAAGCAGAAGCAACAATGCATAATATAATGCATGATCTTCTTGGCTAGTGGATTTAAAATTGCACCTTTTCGTATTCAATTATCGATGGTTGTGTTTTCAGGTGGAAAACAATCCGTATGAACCCAGTCTCATGGTTTTCATGGATTACAGAGACTTCATGAAACATAAAGTAGAATGCCTTGAAGCACAATATCCAACTTTTCTTTATGCGATGCCAATGTCTCCAACAAGAGTTTTCTTTGAGGTTTGACGAAACCGTATTCGTTAACATGCATTATTTTTAAAAAAACTTCTCATCTTTAAACTAGTTCAAGTACTTCACAGGAAACCTGTCTGGCTTCAAAAGATGCCATGCCTTTCGAATTATTGAAAAGCAAACTCATGTCGAGACTAGAGAATATGGGAGTGCGCATTACAAGAACTTACGAAGAGGTGCTCTGCTTGCTTTTTCTCATGTTCTAAGTTGCAAAAGCTACCCCTAAGGTTTAGATTGATCAAAACAAAATAAAAATTCAATCAGTTTCCAAAACTGCAAATAATCCCTTAAGGTATTAAAACGGCTTGTTGATATTTGTATTTGCCTGATAACAGTGCCTCCTCAAGTGATGCAACCTGTAAATCTGAAATGTCGACAAGTTGTTGGGTTTTTTTGTAACTAAAAGCAGCCTCAAGGGTATTTTTTTATAAATATTTTCACTCTTTTTATTTAACATCACATTTTACGGGACAGAGAGAGAGAGAGAGAGAGAGAGAGAGAGAGAGAGAGTTTTTGTGACCATACTTCTCAATTCTACTGCATAAACCTTAATTTTCTTTTCAGGAATGGTCTTATATTCCTGTTGGTGGTTCCTTGCCAAACACCGAGCAGAAGAACCTTGCCTTTGGTGCTGCTGCTAGCATGGTCCATCCTGCCACAGGTAAACATCAGAATGAACCATAGCTTGATATCCTTTTCGTGAACCAAATGGCCATAATTACATGACCTATATCATGCGACAGGTTATTCGGTTGTTAGATCATTGTCAGAGGCTCCAAATTATGCGTTGGTTATTGCAAATATTTTGAAACAATCCAATGTTAGAAACATGGTGATCAGTTCGAGGATTTCAAATATCTCGATGCAAGGTGAATAGTTTTTTACTCTCATTAATATATTTTAGGAAAGAATTTGTGGTACATTCTTGTTTGTGTATTACAGTATCAGTTTCACATTGCCGGAACTGAAAATCTCTTTGTTCAGCTTGGAATGCTCTTTGGCCATTGGAGAGGAAAAGACAACGAGCATTTTTTCTGTTTGGATTAGCACTCATATTGCAAATGGATATCGAAGGCATACGCACATTCTTCCACACATTTTTCCGTTTGCCGAAATGGTACATCAAGAAACTTATACTCACCACTCCACCATTTAGTATATATCATTATCTTCTTATGTTTCACAACTATAAACTGTCCATAGTTGAGTGCTCATCGATACAACTATGTGTAACTTCCCAATATTTAAACTATTGAAGGGATTCTGATGCTAATCATTGCTTCCAAAACCAAATGATATTTACGAAAACAAAACCACTTATATTCTAAAACTTACCCAGTACATCTCAAGTTTGTACATTCCTCGCGATCGCGCATATCTCCTGTTGACGTTAGACGTTAACCACAATTAAAATTGGCATTTATAAGGTAGATTTTAGGGGATTAAGTGTAACAGTTTGTACCATTTCCGTTTACGAAAACGTTAAACCGGTTGGAGCGGAAAAAACAGGAGATTGTGTTAAGAAAGAAGGATCGTCGACTAGTATAGTGAGATCGGCATAAAGATTGATCATAAGAGACTGGGGAGAGATATAGTAATGGTTTAATGATGAACTTGCAATCTGTGTCCTTATTAAGCCTGGATTTATACATGACAAAAGTAGAAATGTAATGATAGTTGTGTGCTAACTAAGGATGCAGGGGAGTGACACGCGTCCCCATGCAAAATCTCGACTTTTGATCAGTGTTCTAGAAGTCGCCTAGGCGGGGTCTAGAAATTAAGATTATATAGCTTATTTTTAATATATTTTCACTACCTACAAAATAAAACTATCTCAAGTTATAATAAATCAACACCTAAGTCCAAATAATAATATTAATAGTATTTATATTTCCTTCCCCTACTTTTGTTTGCTATTTCAGTTTTAACAAAGAACCATTTTACCATGTTTAATTTGGTCTCACAGGATGTCTCAGGGATTCCTTGGCTCGACTCTATCCTCAGTCGACCTTTTACTGTTTGCTTTCTATATGTTTGTGATAGCACCAAACGACATGAGAAAGCGCCTCATCAACCATCTCTTATTCGATCCCACTGGCGCCATCATGATAAAGACTTATCTTACCTTGTAGATTATTATTTCAGTCTTAGTTCGAAATAACCGCCATGTATTTAACTTCTGCATGTATAGGTAATTAGGTATCATCGATTTCCCGTATTCAGCTCTATGGCCATGCAATTTTTGTGTGAAGAAAAAGGGATTCAGCATGTTTAACTTTGAATCCTGGTTTACTGTTGTCAAACATATGAAAACAGACAGAATCACAGAAGTCTAATTAAGAAAGAATGGGCATAAATATAATCATACCCATGATATTGGTCCAATATAGTTCAGGTGGCAGAATTAGTTTAGCTCAGATGATGTGATTAATTCTGACTAAAGAAATTCTGTAGAAAATTTGTGACTGATGAAACTATAATTCTGCTATCTTTCTTAAGAAACCAACCGTTGGAGAAAAATTGGAGGGTATCATAAAATACATTTTTTTTNATATTTAATATTTTAAAAAAAAAAACGATAGAGATTCTATTCAACCACGAAATATACAAGCCAGAAGCTCGAAAGCCCCAAGTTTAGTACAACAATACAACCAAACAAAGAGAGCACTAGCCCGAGATACTCCGGACATAAACCAATCAAAGTTACCCTTACATCAACTACAAAACTAAAGGCAGTAAAACAAATTGACACCTTTAGCATAATAATACCAGCAGATACATCAACAACACAGAGAGAAGAAGTAGAAATAAACAATGAAAAATCAAGGAAAATGCCACTACTGAACCAAAGGACCTAGTGAACATCACCCCTTGTAGCCCCTCAGCTTCTGTTCCTCTGCATTGAGCAAATTCCAACCAATCCCCTTGAGCAGCACTCACCGCCATCCTCTCAGGCATCCAAACATTTTTAAATTTCCAAAGATTTCTGGATTTCCATAACCACCATAAGTTATGAATGGTTAATTTCATCCTATCCTCAGAAATTTCTTTTTTCCCAACTGCACACAATCTCCACCAGACCACCACTAAGACTTAAAAGTTATGGACTCTGAGGGCACTTCAGCCCAGCTCACCGGTGCTAAACTCCACACCCTTTATGCTCTGCTGCAACTAAATAACAGATGTTCTATTGTCTCCTCAACATCACCACAACTCTGACATATGTGAGCAATAAGCATTCCCCTTCTTCACCACAGACCTGCAAAACATTAGACATTACATTTGTGGACGTGTCACCGTAAAAAGAGATTTACATGTATCTCATAATAAATCGTTTTTTCATTAAATAATTTAAATAATCCTATAACTAAAATAAAAAAGAATCCTCCATAAATGAAAATTCTAAAATCGGATGTTTAGTTATTTACATAATCTTTGCCTACCAAACAATTATCAACGTAAATAAAGGAAACTAAGAATCGACTAAACCAAACATAAACTGAAAGTCTAGTTATATGGAAACTATGCATTAATGATTTATTTATTGTTATTTAAACATATAATATTATTTACATCTATAGTAGGTAATTAATATTTTTGGCCGAGAAATATTTTCTAACAATGAATTAATCTTATTTTTATTTTTTATATATATAGATAGATTATAATGAATGCAATTACTGCTTATTTTTTCTTTATTTAAAATAAATTCTAAAATTATCATTTTAGTATGTAATTAATGTTTATGGCGGGAAAAACTTTCTAAAAATAATTTAACATTATTCTTGTTATATATATAGAGAGAGAGACTAGNTAAAAAATTAGTAAAGTGCACGTGCATCGCACGTGGTGTAATATTTTTTGCCGATTAAATTTAGTATAATAAATTATTTAATTTTTTAAACATATCAATGCATGAACGAAGTAAAATGTAAAACAAATGAGCTTCTAATGTTTTTTTATAATGATGTCCTAATATAAAAAGAATTAAATAACATATTACAACCCCAACAAAAATATAGTTCTTAATGGGGAAAAAAATACAAATAAACTAAATAAGGACCCAATGTATATTATAGATGTATTAGTATTTTATTTAAATATGTTATATGATTAAAGAGTAATTTTCTTTCATTTTGGTTTGGACGTTTTCATATGAAACATTGATACTCGTTGGAGCTCAGTACATTAATAATATTTCGAAAAAAAATTTAATTCATTTGGCAAAACGTCTACTTTATTCTAACACTTATAAATATTCTGGCCAAACATATAGTCAAACTTCATGATTGTATGATTTTTATAAGGTATTTCTACTAACAGTTCATGAATATCTTTGTAAAATAACCAACCGCATCATTAAATTGTTGATATTGTTTTATCATTGTATAAACTATTTTATTACTATGTCCATGTAGACAAATTGGTACCTACCTCATAGAGGCATTGCCCCACGGGGTGTGAATGAATTTCATCTCCAAATAAAATTTAACTTTCCAAAATCTTACTTACATGTACTTCTCTCGAGACGCTAAATTACTTTTTGAAATCATCAATTACATGAAAGTACGTACTGTAAAGTAATTGCACATATGTTCCAGCAAAATACATAATAAGATTATAAGTATTCCTATAAAAAAGGGACAATTTTATTCAAACATTCAACAATGTTTTGATCAGGCTTCAACATTTTTTTTCAATGTTATTTATTTGGAAGACAAACGAACTATATAATATATAGTTTGCAAACCATTGATCATCTTGGTTGTTGCAATGATTTTAGCGTTGTTTATCATTATATCTTTCACATTCGCTCGAATTTGCAGTACTTATGTGCCTAATAACTTATTTAGTGCTTTTATTGTCTATTTTTTTTTTCATCATACATAATGCTTCAAAAATTTAAGATAAAGTTCCTTTCTTGGACAAAAATAAAATAAAATAAAAATGAGAAAATATTAAGAAGCATATCATTTGTTAAAGTATTTGAGAACAGAAGAATTAAAATTTTATTATATTATCATTATGATACTCTTAGTCGCTATGTGAACTTAATTATTACGAAGTTATTATTAAAATTTACGTTATGTATTACATATCATTTGTTAAGTATTTGAGAAGAGAAGAATTAGAATTTTATTATATTATGATACTATTAGTCGTTCCGTGAACTTTATTATTACAAAGTTATTATTATAATTTAGTTTATGTATTACAAAGTTTTTATTTATTTAATCACTTAAAATTCTCGATAATATAGGATCATTATTTATGAGAACTAATATATTACTTATAAAAAGGGTAACAAATAAATAAATTTTAAGTATTTCAAAATTAAAAAATTTAATGGTAGAGAGTAATCAAATTTGTAACTAAAAAAATGAAGATTAACATACCAATTTTTAATGCCAAAAATATATTTTTATTTATGTACTTAAAAGTTCTAGTTAAAAAATGGTCATCTTTAATATGCTTAAATTTCCATTAGCCAACTCCAACTGATATAGGACATTAATTAATTTTATCACTTTTTTAAATTATGGATTGAATGCGAGCTATATGCTTTCTCCTTGCCTAGTTTTGCGAAAGGATCGAATAGCAGGGGAGTCAGTCCGTCATGTCGTGCGCTGCGTGGCTCTGGTCCTCGTGGACTGCGTGTCGTCTGGCTGTGCAGTCTGACCTAGAACGGCACTAGCAGGCTGCCTCAACTCCGGGGCTATCTCCTGTCTGTCATAGTGAAAGAAAGCACTAGAGGCGAAGCTCTCGCACGAGACGTCATGCTGGGCGCGGTTAAGACTGCATGCCTACTCAGGGATGGGGAGAAGAGAGGATCCAGCAGGCGGAGCACTCAGGTGCTCGCCGACAGAGGGTGGATGGGGGCTGGCTATATGCTCAGTCGAGCTCCCAATCTCAGCAGATGGGGGATGAGCGGCTCATCCCCTTTCGGGTGAGCGGTGACGGCAGTGGCCCTCAAATCCAGAGAGCGGTCCGGGCTAGAAGCATGCACAGTCAAAAGAACAACGTCGCGCGCACTGTCATCAGATAAGTTGATGGACTCGCCACTGGTCGAGGTGTCCGACTGATCCATATAGTATAAAAGAAGGTCGTCGTCGTCAAGAAGCGTAAGGTCCGTAATCCTAGGTGGGCCACTGGTGGAAGGCACAGCCTCATCCTCTGCCTCTGGTGAGAGGATAACAAAGTACGAGTGGTTGGCCTTGAAGGTCGACTGGAAGGTCTGTCTGGGGAGAAAGCCCGTGGACTTGAGCTTGGGCCCTACTATAGCCAACTGCTTAGGCTGGTTAGGATTAGCATCCTTCCCAGCTTGGCCAGTGGCGTCGATCACAGCCTTGCCCTTATCCTTAGCCCCCTTCGGGGTCTCGGGCGCACGGAGAGGGTTTTGCCCTTTCCCTTTGGGTCCCTCCGGGCGGTGGAGGGCCACGACTGAGTCGCACGGTGGCGCTGCGGAAATGTGGGTCGTGGCTTATTACCACTAGTGTAGCAATCAGCCGCAATATGTCCCATATGAATGCACAAAGTGCAGAACACGTGGATCTTCTCATAGATCACTCGCTATGCAAAGGTCTCCGAGCCCTGCTCAATCTCAGTCTCGTGGACGGCTCGACCATGAGGTCGATCTCTACACAAAACTGCGCCACGTTAGCCCTCGACTGAAGGGCCATTGGGGCGTCAATGCGAATCGGCTGTCCTATGCACTTAGCAAGCATAGTGATAGAATCTCGGTCATAAAGGTGGGGTGAGAGGCCGGGAAGACGGCACCACATGGGGACAACAGGAGCCTCCGTCTTCGGGTTGAACCCGGAAGTATACTTGAACACCCTAGCTGGGTATCCACACACCAGAATCGAGGTCTTAAGCCAAGCCTCGTTATAGTCCTTGGGGAGGTGAAAAGAGACTAGGAGATGATTGAAGTTATACCACTTATATGACACTTTACTCTTAAAACCCAGTTTACCTAATCCAGTAGATATATCTCGAGGGGTAGGGATAGCATAAGTAAACTTAAAAACTAGGGTGTTAGCTAACTTACCGGCAAGGGCGTCAGTTTCGGCTTGATTGAATCAGGCCTTCACCTTGTTTCCCTCGGATCTGATAATGGTCCCGCAAACATGTTCTTATCCCCCATCAAAGGGGAAGTCCTTGGCCGTCGGACGCGGGGCTCCAGTGCCGCCATCTCTCCTCCCCGTAATAGCCTCCCGGAAGGAAAACAGACCAGTGGAAGTGCCCGGAGGGGGCCCGGCTGCGGCGTGGTTGGCCGTGGAGGCGCTCGTCGGTGGTGTCCCGATCAGGGAAGGTTTGGAAAAATGGGCCGTGGATGTCGTGCTCGGGCCCGCAACGACCCCACCATCTTCCCGAACATACAAGACGGCCGGTTCAGAGTTTCCGGCATCAGAGTTGTCTAGACCAGCGATTTGTTTGATCGGAGAGGATGAGTTTGGTTTAGGTCCGAGAATTTCGGCCGTCAAAATCAATTTCGAGATGGCCCCGGAAGAATTGCCGGTCGG